CGAGTAGCCCGGTCCAGTGGGTCTCCGCGTCGGTAGCGGCCGATCCATACCGCTGGAGCTGTAGTTGTAGGCGTAGCCATTCGCTGCGTAGCCTCCGTCGTACGTGGCTGGGAAAAAACTGTTGCTGCCGCGGTTGTACGATGTGCTGGGACTGTTGGTGCTGCTCTTGGTGAAGGGCCAGATGCTGGCGTGCGACGATGTGGGGGACGGCGGGCTTGGGGGTCGGATGCTGAGCGACCTCAACGCGGAGATGGCGGATGAGTATTGCGCGCCGGTGGTGGCACCTGGTGTTGTGGGCGGCGAGAAGTGCATCGAGTTCGGCCTCGAGGGGGAAGCGCGAGGAACAATATCTCTGGGCTCGGGGTTGCATGCGGCGTAGAAAGGGTAGTTGCCCATGTGTGGTTGGCTCTGAGTCCTGCCAGTTGATGCGGTTTGCTGATCATGCTTGCGGCATCTGCGTAGTGTCAGTAAGTCAATGAAACGCCAGTTCATTGTAGGACTCGTCCTTGGGAGGTAGCAGCTTACGATTCTGAGCAGTACAGGAACCTGTCGTCTTGAGGTACGAATTGCTTTTCGCAAGTCATGCTAGATTACACGGCCAGTCAGCGAATCGTTCAATCAATAGGGTATGAACAATGGCTCGAACGGGAATTTGAGTGTGTTGGCACCCAGCGGGAGAATAGCAACGCGCGCTACAATGGGCGTCCATCGTGACACTGCAGAGCTCCCGAACGGGATGACAATCTGCAACAAAGATTGGATGACGGACAATGTTGCAAGACAGCATGTTGCGGGGTTGGCAATTTACAAACATGACGACGTTGAGGAAGCACAAATGTCCAGATCGTGGAGTGAGAGTGAGAGTAAGAGTGAGAGTGAGGGTGAGGAAGCAACGGCGAGAATGAACAGTGAACAGACGAGAAAAGACAAAAGGCTAGGATAGCAAACTTACCAGAATTGAGGGAAACTCTCCCGTTCATCGTCCCACGAGTCTTGCTGTTCCCGTTCCCGTTCCCGGTCTCTAGGGTTCTTGCCCAGCTTCTGGGGAGTTTGGCGTCTGGTAAGAGTTGAAGGACGCTTGCCGTAGCGGGAGGGATCGGTAGCTGTGACAGTCTTCTCCGTCATGGAGGTGTTGCCCGACTTTCTGCGGCTGTGATGCATTGTGGAATCTTTCTCTTGGCGTATGTACGACTGAGAGAAAGGGATCTGAGGAAGGGGAAGATCGAGAGAAAACAACAAGCCAACGATGCGACGAGGTTGGCAGGGGTTCTTCTTGTAGTCTATCGCTCAGACTTTCGCAGCTCACGCTCACAGTTAGTTTCCGAGTCCTCAGTCTCAGTTGGCTGTGTTTTGGTGCCTGTATCGGCGGATGGACGGCGGAACGAGATAAGCGGGGAATGGCGGGTTTGGTGGAGGGGTAGCGCCGTTCTATTCCCCCAAGTAGCGATGATTGACGACCAACAGCGTGTGGTGCCACTGCAGTTGCGAACGTCCGTTCTGTCTCGGCCGTCGGGTTTGGCAGAGGCGATGGTGAAGCAGTGTCGGATGAGGGAAGAAGATTTCCGAACCCTTTTTCTTCAGCAACAGTGAAAATTTTTCGCAACAATCGGTGAGATGTGAATCTAGACTGCCTGTTGGTGGCCTTGTATGGGAATGCAGGAAATTGGTCCCTGCTTTCACACGTTCCGAGTGGCAAATTCGAGGCCCTGGGCTGAGTGTAGATACGAAGAACAGGTAGGTAGGTGGTGGTAAGTAGAGTGGTGGTCGGCTGTGACTCCGTGTGTCTTGTCCGCCCGCTGAAGAGATTTTTTCTTCTTCTCCGGTCGTTGGTCTTCCCCCGCAGGTCAGGGCGGGTGCTGGGAGGATTAAGAAGGGTCTCGAGCTATCGCAGTGTGCAGGGGACGCCTGATGTGGTATGCCTTATTTCCAGTAGCTAAGGCGTCTTGGTGATGGATTGAAAGATAGCGGCGGGTTTGGCTGGGGGGTGGCGGGAGTGGATGTGTATGTATATTTGGCCGAGAGCTGATAAGTGAGGGATGCCCGTGGGTGACGGCTGATGGATGAATGTGCCAAATGTGGTGCGGGTTTGTGACCGTGACCGTCGCCGTGACCGTGACTGATACAGTTCTCCAAAATAAAACTTGGAGAGAGAGCCCGTGTTCCTCCTATCAGGCCAGTCGGAAGTTTTTAATGCAAGAGACAGGTCTAGGAATGAGAGACACAGAGAGAAGAGAGAGGTGTGTCCAGGGCAAGACGGGATAGGACAAGATGGGATGGGAGGTCAAGGGAATTAAAGAGGCGTCCCGCCAGTCCAAGCAGGTCTGATGTGGTGCTGCAAGCTTGCAGGAAGGATTGGCCGGATGTGTTGTTTTCGAGAGGGCTAGCTCGGCTGAGGAGAGCCTGAGGAGAGTACCTGCGCTGACGGCTGCTATTACCGTGCTAGGTAGGTATCTTTTGGTGAGACCCGGCGAGGTGGTGTGTGGTGTGAGAGACTCAGACGTAGAGAGAGGTGTGCGGGTTGAGTCTCCAGGCTCAGAGAGTGAGTGAGGTGAGAGACCGGGGTTGACTTGCAACAGCGCTTGTTTGTTCTCGCTCCAGGGATAACCGGGGTCTGCAAGTCTAGGTACAGTCGAAACTAGGAGGTACTCTGCTGGGTGCTGTACAATGTTTGCTGCGGCCTGGATCTCTCTCGAGGAATTAATCAAACAGCTCGTAGGAAGCACGATGACGCCAGAGTCGAGAGCGAGTGCGGGGACCAGGGCTGGCTAGCTCCAAATTGGCCCGTTGTCCGTCTTCCGTTCGGGGGTGGGAATTTGCGAAAGAGAGATGCGATTTGTGTATCAGCAAGGCGAAAGCCGAGCAGCAGGTGTGTGAGTGTGAGGTGGGTTGCCCTTCTAGGTGCTCGACAGAAGGGACGGCGGGATTCAAGTGGATTGAGACGAAATAGAGCCAAACTGACGTAGTGATCACTCAGTCAAAGACGAGATTGCCGAGGAAATGTCAAGGTGACGCGAGAGAACAATTGGCGACAAATGAGGCTCCTGGGATCGGGACTGAACTGGAGCCGGGGAATATATGTAGTTCCGCAGACGGTTGGTTTGACTCTTGAATAGTGTTCAATGGCTCTTGTTGAATGAATGGAGCCCGGTCGAAGTGTGACTCTTTCCGTTGCCGTCCTTACTTGTCACTCCCTTGCAAGTTGATGGATGGATATTCTTTTTTTTTTCCCCTTCCCTGTCTCCCCCCTCTGTGAATTTTTCAACCTGGTACCTAGACAAGCCCGCAAAGACGCAAAGTACCTCGGATTGACGCAAGGACAGGCAAGGCCGTGGGTTCGCCGAAAGCGGAGATGTCGTGGTGCGGACGGACCTCCAGCCTATGAGATGGATCAAGCGCCGCCGATTCGTTCGTCGTCTCAACTCTGCCGATGACAGCAGCGAGAATACCACCCAAACCGTACGGATACCGTGCTGTAGCTTGTAATTGTGTGCGGTTACAGGTGTACCAAGTAGCCACGACGACCGGAGACCAGACACCCTGATGAACCCTCTCGTGCTGAGAAGGGTATGGCGTGGCCGGCTTGATCTGCTTGTGTCCGAACGAAGCGGTGGGAAGCAAGGGCAGCAAAGCTAGGAATGAGCTCTCTGGCCTCTCGCTGGCTAGCCGCGGCGTCTGTATGAGGACTGGCGGGTTGGCTCTTGCGTGTGAGACCGGAGAATAAAATGTCGTTCTTTGTAGTCTGTGTGTAATGTGTATGCAGCCGTGTCTTTTTTCGTATTCCGAGCTAATTTGGTATGGAATTCCTTTGGGAAAATGTGTTTTTGCGCAATATCCTTTTTTGTTATTCCCTCCGTCTTCGTTTCTTGTCTAGCCGCTGGTCCCTTTTTTTTTTTTTTTTTTTTTTTTTTTTTTACTTCTTCTTCACCGACTTATTGACGTGGTTGAGGAAACGGATTCGCTAGCGAGAAAAACAAATTGCCCTTTCTATTCAGATCGAGATTCTAGATCAGGGTCCGAGGTTTATATCGCCGTTGCTTCCTCATAGTCACGGGGATTATGGCATCAAAGAAGCCAGGCTTCAGTATCTGTACTTCGTACTTTGTGCACTACCTCTGGGTGGAGAGGATTGCAGGCCTGCGATGGACGGGGGAAGCCTGTCTGGTTCCCTCTCTGCGGGCGGCTCACTCGTACCCAGAAGGGTAACCCGGGACCCTTGTCGTCGGCGATTGTGTGAGAAGTCGAGAAGTCAGAAGAGGGCGTTGCGTGCGTGGATGCAGGTGGGTATGTGGTCAGGACAGACTACTTAGCGAGACGAGGGGGATGTGCGGACCAGGGCAAGGCGTAAAAGACCAAGCAGGGCTTTTAATAGTGCAAATATGGGGAAGTCCAAAGAGAAGCAGAGGTTGATGCACGATGCTGCCGAGAGAGAATGGAAGTCTGGGGATGAAGCCAAAGTCACAAAGTCGCGACGTCCCAAAGTAGGTACCTGCCTTGTCTGCCCTGCTGTGCTTGCCTACCTCTGTACCTGCCTCTACCGCCTTGTACCTCGCAATGTAGTCTCCTTCGTACTTTCCTTTACGTACGTTCATTCCCTCCTCCTAGACGTTCTCGGGCTCGAATTATGTAAGGCATTACACGTGCAGTACGTATCCAAGGTACCAGAGTACGAGTAGGTACACTTTTCCAAAACAGCAGCGGTGAACGGTGAATGGTGAATTCGTGGCTGCGATTACGAATCTACCGGATACCTTTCCTCGCGGTGCTTGGGGTGTTCTTGGAAGGTTGCCAAGCATCCACCATTACATGATGGAAACTAGAATGCTATACTAGAATGTCAGGTACACTTGCAAAAAGGGCATACCGGAGTTCACTCCTAGAGGCACCACAGCATCACTGGACCACAGGACCCTCTCTGAGACGATCGGCAAGGGGACTGGGCACCTCTGCACGGTGTACACTGTAACTGCGTACATATTACCTGCTGGACACAGGATGACAAGATCCAAACCCCACGATACGAATACTGCAAGCTACCTGGCCTCACCTATGGGAAGCCGAGGACAAGGTACGAGCGATGTGAGGTGTGACCAGGTGACTGGCCATGCGAGGGCTAACGAGAGCCAGGTCTGACGCGAATGAGGGGGGCTCAGTTGTCGTCGAGCGATGGCGATACATCATTTTCGCCATTCTGTCATCAGCTCACCCCATCAGTCCCGGGTACCTCTTTCATGCCGCCATGGACCTTGAGCCCTTGCTCATGTGCCGAAGCCCTCTTTTGGCATCTTATTCTGTTGCAGTCCGTCTGTACTCGATATACACTGCGGTACCAAACTTGCATCATAACAACACCTTGTTAGCTAACAAGTTCGGGATGGCATCAACGTACAACCAACCATTTCGCATTATGTAAGGAATGGTTCAAGGAACAGGCAAGAAATATCGCTCATGTACGGGCACCTCATGCAGTGGCCGCTCGAAACCTCTACGGCCTCGGTGCGGGCTGCCTCAGACACGCAATGTACCGGTCCACGTCAGATCGAGCCAAGAGGTACATCACACGCCGGGCCGTCCAAAGTCCTTGGACGAAAGAAACAAGCACTTGATGCGCGTGGAGAACGGAACTTCCTGCGGGAACAGAAAAAGCGGGAAGAAGGATACAGAGCCGCCACTACTGTTGAAAGGGACATCAGAAAGGGACACCCGTGAAACCGAGACTTTCTCTCTTGTCCAGTGAAGCGATCACGATCTAATGGTTTCTGGGCTCCATACGCATGAACACTGCGACTTAACAATTCCAAAGGGCCGCTGCCGTCTCGAGGGCAGCCAGTCGGCTCGCTCTGCTGTGTGCAACGTGCCTTGCTGCGTACCCCGTATTATGGAGAGCTTCGACTGCATGACCAGCGAAACAAGACACGGCGTCACGGCGAGGGTCCAGGACTCCAGGTACCTTGCAGCGGCAACAAACTCACGGATAGGTACGCCGATTTGGATGCCCGTCTGGCCAGCGTATGTGGACTGTATTTCTTAACAGCTTACAAGACCACAGTCAACGTGTTTTTGGTACGGCACTTGTTAGCCAGCTTCTACATCAGGGATAGCCAATGAGGTATTTCCTCGTCTTGCCTTTCTACTCGCATCTGCACCGCCATCGTGTTTGTTTCTCCCCGTTCCTTGATTTTGAAGAAACTGGACACGTCTCCGGTGAGTCCAGACTGCCAGACTGAGATTAGTGAGCACATGCCACGGCTGTCTCTCAGCAAAAGAACAAACATGATGCAATGCAGCACGAGGGCAGAGAAGGCCGCAACGACACAGTCCCCGGTTTTCTCACTTTCGGCACGTCCCCTTGATCAGCAGATGTTGCAATTTTCCTCAAAGGGCAGAACATGCTGGGGAACAACAGACGGGACGCCGAAACACGTTTCTTTCTACTCTGTCAGCGACCCGCCACGGCTGGAGTTGAAGTCTGGCAAATCATTCGAGTCGGATGGAGTGGGCCATTCCCAGTTCCCACGAGATTGCTACGCAGGCAGTAAGAGCAGTCGAGACTCAGACGTCTGCTGTCGCCTCAGACATGTCTACGGCGGCCTCGCTGTGAGCTTCTGCGGCTGCGACGGAGGAGCCTCCACCCCCCGGGCCCCGGTATTTCGTGATTCATACGACGTTTTCACATCACCTCATCCACAGCTCTGAGCACGTTTCCCCACGAATGGGCCCTGAGAATGACAAGTAAAGAAATAAAAATAAAAGCCACATCCGGGTTACCAAGAGGCCGTACAGAGTTCGAAACAAACTCCACTGAAAGGCGCAACTGTTACTTTGAGGGAGGGAACTAAGGTACCACAGTATCCGTCGACGTCTAACCAACATCCCCGAGAGCCCCACGTCCCCAATGTGAGAGGCTCAGCGGCTCAGAAACTTCAACGACTGTGCGACTCAAGGAGTCAGTCATCGCGAGCCGGCTTGACTTTCGGCGGAGTACCCATATCCACAGTAAACCACCTCACAGAACAACAATGAGCACATTTTAGCTCTTAGGGGTAGAGCGGCTGAATGGCAAAGAGGTGCCCCGAGTCCCCTGGAGGCGTCATGCTCCCAAACGGCGCTGCGAGCTTGAGGCGATCCGGTGCCATCTACCTTGGGTATGGGTTGTTGGCGTCGTCCGTCCCACCCGCTCCCTTTCTTTCCCACGTCCTGCGAGCCTACGACCCGTGGAGCCATGGCCGTGGAGCCGTGGCACCTCTCCGGCCAGCCGCGCCGACGCCCGCCGCAAAAACGACATGCTCCGGTTTTTTTTTGTCTCTCTTTTCACTCGCTTCACCTCCACAGGCTCACAGAGTACGAAAGATATTACCTATCATCCCTTCCCGGTAACAACAACACAATACAATGACAAAGACGGACTCGACGCAGGGAAGATGACCAGAAATTGTGGAAATGGGCAGAAATTTCAGGATTCTAGTGATTCCAGACCTCAGCGCTCGCAACCACCCCTGGCGCATCAGAAACGGCTTGAGAAAAACTTAATCCCTATGAGAAATAATTTAGTGGGCAAACTGGAAGGATGACACAGCCCGGAGCCCCATTGACAGAACATCCACTCGTTTCCCATCGTCCCGGCTCCGTTCTCTGCAAGGGCTTCCGTTCAGAAGTCTCTTCACAATTCACAGATCATAGCCACACACTTGTACACCGGTGGTGGGCCTTTTCCCATCCCGGCCTTTTACCTTGCCTTGTTAGTCAAGTCTATGTACTCCGTAGGCCGGGTCCAATTGTCCAAGGTAGCGAGCTGCAAACCACCTACCACAGCGACTGCTTCATCCACGTTGAGACGGTGGAAACTTGACATGAACGATGTCCCTTCCCGTCCGTCGCAGAACACGTGTTTCCATCAAGTTTGGTCAGAGGAAGAAGAGGTTCCATTCTTTTTTTTTCTTCGTTTCTCCCAAGTTCACCGTAACACAGTATTGATGCAACATTTCTGCCTCTTCTTCCCCTTGCCTCCGTGCGGGGATCCCAACTTATCGGGCATCGGAGAGGGCAGCCGGCGGAAAATTTTCATCTGCAACTCCCCAGGACATTCCCCAAGATGCCAAGCTACTGGCCAGTTCTGTGTCTTTGCAACTGGAGTGAGTTTGATATTACTGCACAGGAGGTATGGGGCAACAGGCATGGTTGAGCAACTAGCGCTTTGCTAGAACCTACAGGCATACTGGGGCTCTCTACTTCGTCCTTTTGTCTTGTCAAACTATCTATCCATACATCGTAAGTTTCCTCGTCCCATCTGTCACAACCTGGGAGGATCCCATGATCCAGAAATGTTCACCCTCGACCTTGAGAGAACAAATCAACTACTTTGGTTCTGATGGAACACCGACACCTCAAGACTGGGACCCTAAGGTACTGTCTAAGGTGTGCAACGTGGAAAGTCACCGGAAAGCCCACATCAATCGTAACTGTTCCCCGCCTAGGAAACAACATCCGTCAAAGCCGCTCGTTCGAGCATCGTCTGCAATTCTGCATTAACACAGGCGAGCTAGTAAACAGTGCTGGATCAACGATCGACACTCTGTCTACCTAGTTCCCAAAACAAGTACCCTTTCAGTCCGTCGGTACGTCTAGTAGAATAGCCTGATGCACGCTACGCCGACCGCCGTGGGCTTAAGCAGTCGTTTTCCCCAGCTCTAAATAGCCGCTATATGGCGATCCCCCAGTCCAGAACCATGGACCCCAACACAACCACACAAACTTTCTGTGGTGGCCGTGCTAAAAGACGGTGACTGTGACACATGGAAACGGTGAAGGATATGTGCCCATCATCCATCACATTCGTAGGCAACGTAAGTTTGAAACGGCCGCGTCCAAATGATGCTGATCGACTTACTTGCTTCTGCCGTGCTGGCTGCCCTGCCGGTTGGGAACTCTTTTTGGATCACCTCAAGAATGCGGGGTGTGATGTGATGAGCTGTTCGAGCACGACAACTGCCGTTCACTACGAATCCATACACAACAATAATGGTGTTTCTATATTGTCTAATGGCACGCCATCGCCACTTACCATCTCGTCACATATTTCGAAAGAATGTCAACTGCTTTCGAAAGTAGACGTCAGATGCGGATGCTAATGCCTCATCATGAATCGCAGTTGGGGTTTACTGGCGTGGCTTCCAACCGTTGGTCGACTTCTGCTCAAATCACAACTTGAATCACGTCCAAGGAGTGGAAAGGTTCCTCGGACGCATGTCGGAGTCGATCGATAGGCTGATGCTGTGGTCGTAAGGCAAAATCGTGGTCAATTGGCCTTCTTCGAGTCGCCTGCAACTCGCCGACACAATGCAATTCGACAAACTGATTGTGCAATCAACCTGCCGGCGGGACAGTTACCAATCTCAAGGAGTAGACACATACGCAGCAAGAGCCGCGACATGATCGATTGGGGTGACAAGATACGCAAGCGCAAAGCATTCGACCTCGTCCACTGAGACTCTTGCATTCCCGCCCATTGGGCTATCTCCCAGATACTCCGTCATGGTCTAGAAACTATCAAGGTGGCTGGCTGGCACTTTGTAAACCCAAAAAGGTACGTTTGCGTGTCAGCCTGTGATTTGAACTTGCATCCATCCCTACGAGAAGAACCGAACCGGGGCTTCTGCAGAGTTTCTATTGCATGCCTGTCACGCATCGAAAGTTCTGCTTGCATCCGGTGGGCGTACGGAGTACTACACTGCAACTCAATCAATCAGCCTTTTTGTGCCTCACGTGGGGGGACGTTAGATTTTTTCCTCTTTCCATTCCCATATCATCCGAGGGTCCGAGTAGAGTTTTTTCCTGCTACTGATTGATTGATGGTTGATTAGATTATTCTATATTCCCACCAGCTTGGCATTGGAGGGTCACGTTCGAACGCAGCTCCCGAGATTTACGGCGAAGGGCGACGATAATCCTGGGCCGAGGGATCAACAGATATTCTGCCTGCTGTGTATGGGGGGAACTCAGAGGTACAGAGGCGTAGACAGATGTGTATGGGGGTGGAAAACGTCACCTTTCATCGCAACGACGTGCGTGGCCATTCGACATACCTCTTTTCGTCTAGACTTCTACGGGCGGCAGTCTCTCGATATGCACGCCATCTGACTTGTGAGTTTCAACCCCACGCTCACGACCCCTCCTCTTCCCTTCAAGCCTCGTCACTGACGGCGGACGGCAGACGCCATGGCGAACCATGATATTCTAGACTATCTCGAGCTGTGCCCCTGGTCTATTCTTCAACTTCTAGTCATCTGTCGCTATCTACTATCTGCAACCCGCCAGCCCATCAAGGTGAGCCGAGCAGCCGCGTCTCATCAGGTCGTCGCTCACCTTGATGGGTGTGAACCTCGGTAGCCTAAACACCGAGCCATGGAAAGTGGAAAATGGGCCCCGATTCAATTCAAGCTACCGGCTCAATTTTACCTAGGTAAGGGAAATTTTCAACCACATCTTGCGTTTGGAGCTCGCCATTGGTCGTCGTACGCGTTGCTGACGGTTTTGCCTAGTATCAGGCAAAGCTGGCCCAAAGGGGTCCCGTCCACGCTTACAAGCTGAAAAGGGCCGTGGAAAGGCTGAGAGCTGAAGCAAAAATCGACGAAAATTTCTGCTTCAGCTCTTGCGGACAAACACCCAAAGGAAGCAAATGCTCTCAGCGAGATGCACCAATCGCTTCCACCCTTCATCCCACGCATCCATTCATCACACAGGCACACCGGGCAGGGTCGGATACTTTCGGGATTGTTGGAAAAACATACCCCACGGACTTGTGGGGTTGTCAACCCTCCATGACAGGAACCCAGAACCCTTTGGACGCCATCCCGATGACCACAACGAGACAGGGGGTGGGTTGGAAGGGAAGCTCTCATGCAAGATAACGCCATTTGAGCCTCTCACAGGTTCGCGAACCGCACTCGCGTCTGCCTGTCTCGTCTCAAGGAGAACCCCCTCCCCGGTTCA